CCCATGGACTGTAGCCTGCCAGGCTCCTCTTTCCATGGGGTTTCCAAGGCAAGAATACTGGATGGGGTTGCCATTTCCTCCTCCAGGGGGTCTTCCTGACCTAGGGATCGAACCTGCATCTTCAGCATTGCAGGTGGATTCTTTACCCATTGAGCCTCTTGGGAAGCCCCTAAGTAGTCAAGAGTCCAGCTAAACATGATTTCCTGTGGATCAAAGGGCAAATGGGTATTAGAAGCCGATTACTGAGGACAGAGATGATAACACAGGCAATGATTTTCTAGAGTATAGTAAGCGAGAAAGGGCTAGTATGGACAGAAGCAGAAAAGAGATGGAAAAAACCAGAGAAGTCCAGAAAAGTGGACACCAGAGACCAAAGAGCAGCTAGGGCAGATGAGAAGTCGTCCGGGTGCCCAGGGCTTTATGAGATTCTGGTTCTTATCCCTTATGTTGTGGGAGCACTTTCTTGTGTCCTTATATTTTAAAGTTTTAATTTGCATTTTTCTGATTACTAGGAAGTGATTCATTATATGTTTACTAGTCATTTGCTTTATTTTCTTCTGAATGGCCTACTCATATTCTTTGTCCATTTTTTTAAAAAAATCATGATCTATTTGCTTGTTTACTTTCTCTGTGGCTCTGCCCGGTCTTCCCTGCGGGGTGAGGGTCATCCCTCGTGGCGGTGAGCGGGGCTCCTCTAGAGGCAGAGCAGAGGCTCACTGGGGTGGCCGCTCTTGTCTTGGATCACGGACTCCAGGGCAGGCAGACTTCAGTAGCTGTGGAGCGCCAACTTGGTTGCCCCCCAGCATGTGGAATCTTCCTGGACCAGGGATCAAGCTGCTGTCCCTTGAATTGCAAAGAGGATTCTTAACCACAGCACAGACAACTGGGCAAGCCCTGTTTCTTATTTTTTAGTCCTAACTTCCTTGTAAATTCAGGTTTTAATTTCTTTTCATACTGGCTTTCCTGTTTACAGTGCCCAGTTAGCTGCCAAACAAGTACTTTCAACCAACAATTCAGAAAACTAGGTATCACTGCTTATTCTTACTGGAGGGTAGTTGCCAAAATAGGAAATGGGAAAGAAGTCAGCTCCACAATTCCTTGATAATATGTACTGGTATTTTAACTGAGTAATAGTAACCATGAAATATATATATATATATATATATAACCACTCTAGTCAAGATTTAATATATATAACCACAAAATATATAATCAGAAAAGAAGATATGTATAGTTTTTAAAAAGCATATATAAAAGATTCTGAAAATTAGTGTAGGCTTTCTGTTAAACTCTTCTATTTTTTAGTAAAACATTGTTTTAATGACATTGTCCTTTTAGAAAACGTTTCACCCATCTTAAAAATTGCTGCTCCAGGATTGTATAGTTTTTTAAGCAATAAAGCTTTCCTATATGGGGTGACAAATACCTGTAATACATCCCAATCAAAAGTCTTGATCTACTAGTGGTTGTTGAAAGTCATAAAGCTCAGATAATATTATACAATTTTAAAAGGGAAATTCACTTATGTATTTCCAAGATAGGTTTATAAACAATGATTTGTAGAATACTTGTAGCCAAAAAGAAATGACAGTGGAATATTACTCAGCCATAAAAAGGAACATATTTGAGTCAGTTCTAATGAGGTGGATGAACCTAGAGCCTATTATACAGGATGAAGTGAGTCAGAAAGAGAAAAACAAATATTGTATATTAATACATAATATGGAATCTTTCTAGATGGTACTGGCCGCATTGGAGACACAGAGAGAACAGACTTGTAGACACAGTGCAAAAAGGAGAGGCGGGATGAGTAGAGAGAGTAGCATGTAAGCATATACATTACCATATGTAAAACAGATAGCCAGTGGGAACTTGCTGTATGGTGTAGGGAGCTCAGACCCAGTGCTCTGTGATAACCTAGAGGGGTGAGATAGGGAGGGAGGTGGGAGGGAGGTTTAAGAGGGAGGGGACATACATGTACCTATGGCTGATTCATGTTGATGTATGGCAGGAACCAACACAATATTGTAAAGCAATTATCCTCCAATTAAAAATAAATTAATTGTAAAGAGTAATTATGAGATTCCAAAATATGTTCAGTCTATAATTAGTATCAGTGAAAATTCACTAAAGACTGTTAGATTTTGCCTATGGATATTCAGACACTGGCCACCCAATATTCAAGAAGCACTGGGGTGCTTCTTAACAACACTTCAGTCTCCCTTGGGAAATGACTCCCTCTGCTGTGGAAATACTGCTGGTAAAATGGTAAATTCAAGTGCCTTCCCTCCCTCTATGGATAAGAAAGGGGTTTTGGATGTTCTTTCACCCAGATCCTTTCGCTTAGTAACCATATGAAACTAGAGGCCAGCACTCCATGTAGGCTAGGCCAATTTCAGGCTCAGTTCTGGGAATTTAAATCTTGACTAGAGTGTTAGTGAAACTGACATGGGTGGAATTTACTCATTCTTGCAACAGCACTCTGATCACTGAAATGAGGCCTACGCTACTACAGATTTGCATAAATTCCACAAATTTCCATTTCCCTTTATTCTAGTACATTTGATGTCATTTTCTTTTTTTAAGATTTTTTTTCATGTGGACCAATTTAAAGTCTTTACTGAATTTGTTAAAACATTGCTTCTGTTTTATGTTTTGCTTTGTTTTGTTTTCACCATGAAGCATGTGGGATCTTAGTTCCCTGACCAAGGCTCGAACCCACACCCACCGCATTGGAAGACGGTGGGTCCCCACCCATTCGAAGCCTTAACCACTGGACTGCTCGGAGATTCCCTGTTGTTTTTCATCTAAAAGCCCTAAGTGATTCACTTTTATGTACTGACTTATAATTTGACCATACTGAACTATGATGTAAACTAGAACATACACACACACATACCACCACCACCAACAACCTATAACCTATAATATGAAGGAATTTAGGCAGTGAATGTCAGGATGGATAAAAGGGGAGAAGTATAAATAAAGTTGGTGATGGACAGGGGAGCCTGGCGAGCTGCAGCCCATGGGATTGCAAAGAGTCAGACATGACTTGAGTCACTGAACTGAACTGAACTGATGAATAAAGTAGCTACTAACTGTCCTCAAAATGTTTGAACATCTTTACAAACAGGAAACTGTGCCCAGTAGAATAGAAAAGAGGAAGTATCAAAGTATCACAGAAACTACCACATACACCGAAAGGTCTACATCATTACTAATCAAAGAGAAGAAAACTAAAACTAGATATCAACTATCCCCATAAAATTAAAAGTAACCCCAAATAGAAATGCTGTTGAGATGGCGATTCGATGGGCATTTTCCTAGACTTCTGGTGAGCCTATAACTGGTTATGAGTTTTCAGGAACACAATCCAGTGACGTGTAACAAGAACCGTCAGGACACTCATATACGGGACTAGTCAGAACTGAGTGCTACAGAGTGTGGGACCGATTACATGCAGAGACCTTCCACAACCGTGGGGAAAGCTGGGAAGTGAAGCCCTGACAGAGACACTAACCAGTCCACAGGCGGCTGAACACGGTGGAGCAGATCCGAGACACTTGTGGACACTCAAACAGGGATTCGGGCCTGTTGGGAGATCTCTGGGAGGCCACCATCTTGGGGACCCACAGCCAGGATTTGGGCAGCCAATCTAGGACCCCTGTCCATCCACAGGGCCGGACGTCAGGAAAAAGGACTGATGCCAAGAGAAGGGTGAGGACAACCTGGAACTCACCAGGCAGCTCAGCTTCTGAGGACAAGGACCTCCAAAGAGGAAGCAAAGCTGCTGCCAAACCCCACCCTGAGCTCCTCTCTTGGCCAATGCCACCTCCAAGTGTGCAGGTGAAGGAATTCTGGGGACTGTAGTTCCCAGCACCACCAAGTTGAAATGAGAATAATCTGGCACTCACATCTTCTGATCCTATAGTTTCATTCCCCATATAGGAATGGATCCTAATAAGGTGGGAAATGCAGCCAAAGATCAAATAAAACTAACGTCACCACACGTAAAATAGAGAACACGGGAAATAAGTTAAATTCCCAATAATAGGATTGGACACTACTTAGCAACTGAACAAAAACAAAAATAGGAGAATGGTGAAATAAACTAAGGTAAGACACAGACAAGAGTTTCATGTTGTTTAATCGCTAAGTCATGTCCAACTCTTTACGACCTCATAAACTGTAGCCCGCCAGGCTCCTCTGTCCGTGGGATTTCCCAAGCAAGAATACTGGAGTGGGTTGCCATGTCCTCCTTCAGGAAATCATCCCGACTCAGGGATTGAACCCAGGTCTCCCACATTGCAGGCAGATTCTTTACCATCTGAACCACTGTGGAAGCCCCAAGCATTTCATGAACTCACTTAAAAGTTGTTTCTTATGACTTTTAATGATATGATTATATCCTTGTGATGTGGAATGAAAAAAGCAGACCCAAAAGTATACCTGCATTAGAATTATGATTTTGGAAACACATTCATAGGTTTGATTTTCTTTTTAATACTTTCATATACCCTTCCCTATTCATTCTTCACAAAGCAACCCAATTCATCTTTTCTTAAGAAAAAATTTTATCGAAATATGTGTAATTTACAATTGTGTTAGTTTCAAGCATAAAGCAAAGTGATTCAGACATATATATGTATTCTGTGCTGTTATAGGTTATTGTAAGATATTGAATACAGTCCCTGTGCTATACAGAAGGTCCTTGTAAGTTATTATTTTATATATAGTTGAGTATATATTTTAATTCCAAACACCAAAGTTATACCCTCTCAATTTCCCAAAGTCATCCTTTAAAAATGTGGACCAGACTTCCCTGGTGGTCCAGTGACTGAGAATCTGCCCAGCATCAGGGTCTTTTCCAATGAGTCAGCTCTTCACATCAGGTGGCCAAAGTACTGGAGCTTCAGCTTCAGCATCTGTCCTTCCAGTGAATATTCAGGTTGATTTCCTTTAGGATGGACTTGGCCTCTCTCAGTTGTCATATCCAGTGACTATCCAGGCCTACTGTTGTTGTTCTCAGTATTTATTTGGCTGTGCTGGGTCTTAGTTGTGACATGTGGGATCTCTTTCCCCAGCCAGGGGTGGAACCCAGGCCCCCTGCCCTGAGAGCTTGAAGTCTCAGCCCCTGGACCACCAGGAGTCCCCGGGCTGATTTTGGTTGCTCTGTTCTTCTTACAGGGCTTCCCCGGTGGCTCAGCTGGTAAAGAACCCACCTGCGATGCAGGAGACCTGGGTTCGATCTCTGTGTTGGGAAGATCTCCTGGAGGAGGGCCCTCTCCAGTATTCTTGCCGGGAGAATCCCCACGGACAGAGGAGCCTGACGGGCTGCAGTCCATGGGGTTGCAAAGAGTTGGACACGACTGAACGACTAAGCACAGCACATTCTTCTTACAAGATCTAGGTAGGAGTTTCCTTTCTGCAGACGAGATATGACTAAATCTCTGTAAAAAACACAGGAATCTGGAAAGCATTCTCCCATATAAATCATGTCATGCATAGCAGTTAGTGGGAAAAACCCATTATATCATGATAACGCTGTGAAACTCCCAGAGTGCATGAGTTCAGGTCCCATTTAGGGTACAAATGCCTCCCCTTCTAGCTCAGGGGTTCAGTCACCCCAGTACCTCAGCACCTCGGGTCTGCTTTATCAGCACCACCCACCCACTGACAATTCTACCTCTTCACATCCCTCAGGCCCTGCTGTCCCAATCGGACCCTGACAAGACCCACGTGCCAACCATGCTTACTGGCTCATCCTAAACCTCCTTGTTTTGCTCCCTTTCTTTCACTGCCTGTCTGAGAAACTCTCAACTCTGGAGAAATCCAACGGCCCGTCTTCTCTCTGTGTTCGTATCATGGCTTTAAGCTGTCTCTGGAGTAGGAAAATTTTATCTCCTGCCTTATGATGCCTCTTTATGTTCCCATCTTTGGATGTCCTTTGTTCACAAAATCCTTGAATATAAAACAACTGGTGAGTCAAGGCTGAGTGATTTGGAGCCTGAATATTTTCACTTTTTCAATATTGAAGTATTTTTAGTATTTCACTTTCATGATCCAGCAACACGTGCACACACGGGTGAGAGGGCTGTGCAAGGCAGCTTGTATCAGAGCCTGCCCCCCCTGATGCAGTGGCCGAGCATCGGTCAGGCATGGTCCGCTCACCGGGCAGAGAGCAAAAGGCTGACAGCTACTCCCTGTCTCTCTCTGGCCTCCCTAGACTGGCAGACCTCCAGTCTAGGCACATCTTCTCATTCTTCTTAGAATAGGGCTAGCTCTTTTTCTTTTTTTTCATTCTTGACTTCATTTACTTATTTTGAAATTTATGTGGGTCTTCATTGCTGGGTAGGCCTTTCTCCCTTTGTGGCGAGGAGGGGGCTGCTCCCTAGCTGCAGTGTGCCTGCCTCTCATTGCGGTGGCTTCCTCCTTTTTGGAGCACGGGCTCTAGGGCAGGCAGGCTTCATTAGCTGCGGCTCACAGGCTTAGTTGCTCCAAGGCGTGTGGGATCTTCCTGGACCAGGGATGGAACCCGTGTCTCCTGCATTGGGAGGTGGATTCTTTACTGCTGAGCCACCAGGAAAGCCCAGAAAAGGACTAGTTTTATATATAGGAAATGGAAGCATCAGAATAGAGCTTCAATTGGGTTTTATTAAAAAGGTGAAGTTAACAGGTGAACCTATTTCTCAAAAATTCATTTTGGGGACTTTTCATTTAAAAAAAAGATCTTCTCCAAAGCAATCAATGAGAAGTTTCTAACACTCTCCTGTTGTTATTGGATTTAACTGTCTTTAGCAAGCATGAATTCCAGTGAAGGCAGACGAATAGACAACTTTATGGCATATAACTTAGCAACCTGGCCTATTTTGTGCTAACCTGACTCTCCATGAATTTCGCAGCAAATGAAACTCTGTGTGACAGGTTCCTTTTTTAGACTCTGACACTGACAGCTACTTTGTTCAATTTTATGGTTATATAAATTTTGGTGTCAGCTTCAGCAATTTTTCATGCTTTCCATATCACCCTAAGGGAAAATGGCAATCATCAGAAAGTAGCCATGGAGAACTTCCTCTTCCCTTACTAAGTGTTGCCGGAGAAAAATCACCCTTCTGGGCAGATTGATTTGGCTATAAATTTGTGGATACCCCCTTCAGCTGGGCTTGTAACATTCCTACTCAGTCCTCTGTTTCCCAGCTCACTTCTCTATCTTATACTCAACAGAGATTGTTTCAAAGCATCTCTACTATCAAAACTCCAATTTCCTCTTGTTTCACAAAAAAAAAAAAAAGACCATGTGTCTTACTTGGCATATAAAATACAAGCCATGTGAACAGAAATCTCTCTATTCTCACTACAGTGATCCAAAACTACCCAAATCTAGATCCAAGTCTTCCCCCTTCCTTCTATTACCAGGGAAGAGCTCTCCCTTTTCTGTTGATAGTTTATTACTCTGTGACCAGCAGTCTGTAAACTGGCTCCAGTGGCTCCTACTTAGCAATAGTCATCAGCTTCCCAGGTGCCTCAGGGGTAAAGAATCGCCTACCAATGCAGGAGATGCAGGTTCCAATCCCTGGGTTGGGAAGGTCCCCTGGAAGAAGAAATGGCAACCCACTCCAGTATTCTTGCCTGGAGAATCCCATGGACGGAGGAGCCTGGCGGGCTACAGTCCATGCAGTCACAAGAGAGTTGGACATGACCGAGCAACTGAGCATGCATGCACACAGCCACAGTCATGCTCTGTAAAACCCCCTCCCCTCAAATGACGGTCAGACATGGGTAACTTCTCCCCTAAAACACAATGCAGTCAAAGTCATAGAGTGTCTCTTTTATGGCCACTGCTGCTGCTAAGTCACTTCAGTCGTGTGCGACTCTGTGCGACCCCATAGGCAGCAGCCCACCAGGCTCCGCCGTCCCTGGGATTCTCCAGGCAAGAACACTGGAGTGGGTCGCCATTCCCTTCTCCAGTGCATGGAAGTGAAAACTGAAAGTGAAGTCGCTCAGTCGTGTCCGACTCTTAGCGACCCCATGGACTGCAGCCCATGAGTCTCCTCCATCCATGGAATTTTCCAGGCAAGAGTACTGGAGTGGGTTGCCACTGCCTTCTCCACCGCTATGGCTAGGTTAACAAAAGTATTGTGACTTCTGTCTTGGGTATTGTCTAGCTCTCTCTTCCGCTCTCACTGACTGACCCTGGAGAAAGCCCTCTGGAGAGGTTTATGGGCTAAGGAAGGCCTCTGGCTGACAGGCACCAAGGGACTGAGGCTGTCAGCTCAGCAGCCTCTGAGGAGCTGAATGCTGGCAATAATGCGTAAGTACAGAAGCAGACCCTCATCCCTCCTCCCCCCGCCACTGTTGAGTCATCTGATGAGACCACAGACCAAGCAAGTAGCCTGACAGCAACTTCATAAGAGACCCTGAGCCCTAGCTGTGCCCTAGGGCACACAGGAATTGTGAGATAGTAAATATTTACTGTCTTATGCTGCTAAATTTAGGGATAAGTTATTATGCAGCAATAGATAACTAATCAACCTTCATCTGTGCACTGAATCCTTCTCACTTGCTTCTCTTTTTCCACATCTTCAAATCTTCTCTATCTACCTTCTCCGTCTAACAAGCAATTACAAATGGAAAAACAATTTAAACAAAAGAAACCTTCAATTCCAATTTCCCTTCCAGCTACAGCTACATTCCTCCCTTCCTCTTCAGAGCCAAACTTCTTGAATTATCTCCACTCAATTTCTCTTCCCTTCATTCCCTTCTTTTCTCTTTCATCCCATTTACCTCCTGTTCATTCCATTGCTATGTAGTCATTAGCTCCAAGAAAATAGAAAAACTTCTCTCACAGTGTGGCCAGTGAATGTAGTGGGAATTTTCAGACCTCATTTTACTTGACATTTCTTAATCATTCAGTACACTTCAGTTCTCTCAAAAATGTTTTCCTTCCTTCTTCCTTTTCTGTCATAGCAAATGACGCACTACCCAAGTAATACTAGCTCAAGCTAGAAGAGTGGTCGACTTGGCTCCCCCATCTGTTCATATACCAAATTGTTTCTCTTTTCTTAATAGCTCACAGTTCTATCTACTTTTCTCCATGCACAATGCCACAACTCTAGGACACCATTGACTCTTACCTGTACCGATAAATGCCTTTTAACTGGTCTTCGATTCATTGTTCTCTCTGAAGTCTAAATGATTGTTTCAAAACACTTTCAGTTCAGTTCAGTTCAGTTCAGTCACTCAGCCATGTCCGACGCTTTGCAACCCCATGAACCGCAGCACGCCAGGCCTCCCTGTCCATCACCAGCTCCCGGAGTCCACCCAAACCCGTGTCCATTGTGTCGGTGATGCCATCCAACCATCTCATCCTCTGTCGTCCACTTCTCCTCTGGCCCTCAATCTTTCCCAGCATCGGGGTCTTTTCAAATGAGTCAGCTCTTCACATCAGGTGGCCAAGGTATTGGAGTTTCAGCTTCAACATCAGTCCCTCCAATGAAAACCCAAGACTGATCTCCTTTAGGATGGACTGATTGGATCTCCTCGCAGTCCAAGGGACTCTCAAGAGTCTGCTCAAAAGCATCCATACATGACCACTGGAAAAACCATAGCCTTGACTAGACGGACCTTTGTTGGCAAAGTAATGTCTCTGCTTTTTAATATGCTCTCTAGGTTGGTCATAACTTTCCTTCTAAGGAGCAAGCGTCTTTTAATTTCATGGCTGCAATCACCATCTGCAGTGATTTTGGAGCCCAGAAAAATAAAATCAGCCACTGTTTCCATTGTTTCCCCATCTATTTGTCATGAAGTGATGGGACTGGATGCCAAGATCTTAGTTTTCTGAATGTTGAGCTTTAAGCCAACTGTTTCACTCTCTTCTTTCACTTTCATCAAGAGGCTCTTTAGTTCCTCTTCACTTTCTTCCGTAAGGGTGGTGTCATCTGCATATCTGAGGTTATTGATATTTCTCAAAACACTTTAACAATGTCAAATCTCTGCCTAAAATTCATCAATCTCAAAAATAATCCTCAATCTCTTCCCATTTGGAAAAATTCAAAGTTTTGCCTGTAGGAATTACGGCCATTTAATTTATGTCCAAATAGGACACTTTGGAGAGTGAAATTCCTTTCACTCTGCTGTTAATAATCATGAAGGAATGAGTGTGTAATCTGAGACTGCCTGAGAAAGTGGGGTAAGAGGTCACCCTACTTATAAAACCCTGTGACATCTGGTCCCCGACAGCCTCACAGCCCATCTCCTGTGTTACCACACACCCCAGTCATTCTGAACTTCATTCCGTTTTCTGAACTCACCGTAATCTCTCTTGTTTTTGGACTTTTGGACATATTGTTGTATTTCCCTGGGAAACTTTCTAACCCTCCTGTTCTTCTGAAAACCTCCTATTCATCCATATGGACTCATCTTATTTGTCCCCTGTCTGGGAAGATCTTTCTTAACCCTTAGATTCCTCCGCTGTGGGTTCCTAAAACATACAGTACACCTCATATCATGCCTTTTCTTCCTCTGTATTTATAATTTACTTGAGGACTGACTTCTCAGCTGAACTCTAAACTCTTTAAAGGAAGATACTGTCTCTGTTTTGTTCATATGAAGGACATTTATGAAAGTAAAACATTCAAAGTCCCAGTGTGGGATCTGAGAAAAACCCGTTCTGGGAAATTGCATTAGAGAAGCAATAGTTAGAACTGGACATGGAACAACAGACTGGTTCCAAATCAGGAAAGGAGTACCTCAAGGCTGTATATTGTTACCCTGCTTATTTAACGTATATGCAGAGTACATCATGAGAAATGCTGGGCTGGAGGAAGCACAAGCTGGAATCAAGATTGCCAGGGGAAATATCAGTAACCTCAGATACGCAGATGACACCACCCTTATGGCAGAAAGTGAAGAAGAACTCAAGAGCCTCTTGATGAAAGTGAAAGAGGAGAATGAAAAAGTTGGCTTAAAACTCAACATTCAGAAAACTAAGAGCATGGCATCTGGTCCCATCACTTCATGGCAAATAGGTGGGGAAACAATGGAAACAGTGTCAGACTTTATTTTGGGGGGCTCCAAAATCACTGCATATGGTGATTGCAGCCATGAAATTAAAAGACGCTTACTCCTTGGAAGAAAAGCTATGGCCAACTTGGGAGCATATTAAAAAGCAGAGACATTACTTTGCCAACAAAGGTCCGTCTAGTCAAAGCTATGGTTTTTCCAGTGGTCATGTATGGATGTAAGAGTTGGACTATAAAGAAAACTGAGCACTGAAGAATTGATGCTTTTGAACTGTGGTGTTGGAGAAGACTCTTGAGAGTCCCTTGGACTGCAAGGAGATCCAACCAGTCCATCTTAAAAGAGATCAGTCCTGGGTGTTCATTGGAGGGACTGATGTTGAAGCTGAGACTCCAATACCTTGGCCATCTGATGTGAAGAACCAACTCATTTGAAAAGACCCTGATGCTGGAAAGATCGAAGGCAGAGGAGAAGGGGATGACAGAGGATGAGATGGTTGGATGGCATCACCGACTCTATGGACATGAGTTTGAGTAGGCTCTGGAATTGGTGATGGATGGGCAAGCCTGGCATGCTGCGGTTCATGAGGTTGCAAAGAGTTGAACACGACTGAGTGACTGAACTGAACTGAACCCAACCTCCTATTCCTACTTCTACTGGTCTCCATAGCCTAAGGCCAGTGCAGAAGGAAAGTTTGAGGATTAAGATTTCAGCCCCAGAATGTCTGACTCAGTTGGTCAGGTGTCGGCCCAAGAAACAGTACTTTAAATGTCTGACTCAGTTGGTCAGGTGTCGGCCCAAGAAACAGTACTTTAAAAAAATCTCACAGGCTTCCCTGGTGGTCCAGTGGTTAAGAATCACCTTCCAGTGCAGGAGACACAGGTTCTATCCCTGGTCATGGAACTCAGATCCCACATGCCGAGGGACAATGAAGACCCCACATGCCACAACTAAGACCTGATGCTGCTAAAAATATAACAGATACTTTAAAAAATACAGGCTCTTACGTCCCATGCCAGTTTGACTGAGTCAGAATCCACATTTTAACAAACTCTTCAGATTATTTGTATGAACATTAAAGTTTTTTTTTTAATTTACCAAGGTATAGTTGATATGTATTAATTTCAGAATCAACGTTAAAGTTTGGGAAGCACTCACTTAGATGATTTTGTGTAAATCAGATGGTTCCAACGTTGCTCTGTGAATACTTTTGTGCTGGAGAATTATTCTCATACCTTCATTTAGCTTTCGCCTTTCAAGCTGCTTTTTTAAAAAAAAATGTCAACCAGTCCATCACCAAATCCAGAGCCTACTCAAACTCATGTCTATAGAGTCGGTGATGCCATTCAACCATCTCATCCTCTGTCGTCCCCTTCTCCTCCGCCTTCAATCTTTCCAGCATCAGGGTCTTTTCAAATGAGTTAGTTCTTTGCATCAGATGGCCATAGTATTGGAGTTTCAGTTTCAACATCAGTCCTTCCAGTGAACACCCAGGACTGATCTCTTTTGAGATGGACTGGTTGGATGTGTGACCCTACTCTTTGCTTTTAATTCTTCTCTAGATCTAAATTCTCTCCCTGAAAACACAAGACATCCTCACGATAGATTCACGGTGCCTCACAAGAGTTGGAATATGCCACATCTAAACCAAACACTTGGTGTTATTGTCTGTGGTTTAGATTCTGCTAGCAAAGCTCTTCAGCTTATTCCTCAAAGTTTTCACAGGTTGCCTTTCTTGAGGTTGCTGCCTCCTGCCCTTTCAATTTCACTCCAAGCTGAGACACTTCTCTCCTTTGAACTTCCTTAAGCACTATCTAGCTATAACTTTACCGTTGAGAGTCTGTGGAATGGAAACACAGGCAGAAAACTGGCCACTGGAAAGGCTGCTTCTGGGGCTCACAGCTAAACCTTCCTCATGGAGTCTGACCTTTGATTTTGTTGCTGTGCTGAGTTGCTCAGTTGTGTCCGACTCTCTGTGACCCTGTGGACTCTAGCCCACCAGGCTCCTCTGGCCATGGGATTTTCCAGGCAAGAATACTGGAGTGGGTTGCTATTTCCTCCCCCAGAGGGTCTTCCCAACCCAGGGATCGAACCCAGGTCTCCTGTGTCTCCTGTATTTTAGGCAAATTCTTTACCTACTGAGCCACTGGGGAAATCTTCGTGTTGCTAAAATGTGGCTCACCTACCCACCCCCGCCTTGACCCCTGCCTTCTACCCCATGTTTGTGCCTCCTCCAAATTACTGCCAACCCAGAACATAAACCCCCATCTCATCTGAGGGCCAAGGACAGAGAAAAACCTAGTTTTCCTCTCTTGTCCTGATGTAAAGCCTGTCCCAGTCCACCACGTGCCATCATGCAATCTAGTTCTTAGAAATCCTTAAAACTCCAATTTAGAAGAGATTTGAACTTTATTTTTGCAGAGTCAAAAGATCCACTTAAGCCTACCCCTGCCTCCAAAATATTTAACTAGCTTCATAGGTACTTAGTGAAATAGAAAGATGCTGCAAGTTTTCAAACAAGTCAGGATTCTGCTGCAGATAGAGCAAACTTTCCATATAAAATACTTTTGTTAGTTCATTCAGAGGAATAGAGCTAACTGTTAGAAATGCAAATGTGTGGCTGTATTTTTTTTTTTTAATATTGAAACTTCCCTGACAGCTCAGTGGTTAAGACTTCATCACCCAATACAAGGCGAATGGGTGTGATCCCTGGTCAGGGAGCTAAGCTCCCACATGCCTCCAGGCCAAAAAACCAAAATATAAAGCAGAAACAATATTGTAACAAATTCAATAAAGAACTTAAAAATGGTCCACATCAAAAAAATGTTTAAAAAAATTAGCGGTCATTTGTGCATGTTTGTTCTATGAGTTCAAAGAATGACTTAAGTATGAGTCAAGTGCCCTTTTTACTCTTAATTTCCCTTTTTTCAGGAATCGTTTAAAATTTTCCTGTTTCTTGACATAATTTCAGTGAAGTTAATCTTGAATAAAGTAATTTCATCAGACAGTGCTGAAACAACTAGATATTCATGTGGAGAAAAATGGAATTCATACCTCACCCCATACACAAAAATTAATTCAACGTGGATTATAGCCCTAAGCATAAATTCTAAAACACTAAAGATTCTAGAAGAGATCATAGGACAATATCTTT